TGTACACACACACACTGCTCATCTCCTGTTTGAAAACCAGAAGTACCCTTTGGAGTCCCAGTGACACTTTTTCTGCAAGTTTTTATCCAAACAACACAAGTTTTAGATTTAGAAATGTTTCATATAGGAGGTCTTTGTTGTACATAACCATATTATTGACTAGCATTCAATTTTACATGAAAAGTAGACATGTTTGCCATCCAAACTATTTTCTGCGATGTCTCCCTTCAGGGAGGATGCCTATTTTTATTCCTATAGGGCCACCATCTTTATGGCACTTGCACTTCAGTCCTGCCCGTACCCCAAAGCATCCGGAGCAGAAAGCATTTGAAGCTTTGCACTGCTCTGCATCGGATTGAGCATTTGAGTCCTGCTCTGTGACAGCAGCAATCCAGTAATGCTTTCATCTTTCATTTCTCCCTGTGTTCCTGAAAACTGGAGAACACCCTTTGCCTGTTTATTTTTAGGGCACAATAACTAAATTATTTTTTAAGGACCCAGCTGCTCCTGGGAAATGCAGTTATGAGCTGTTCCTGTGTCTGAGGAATGCCAAAGCCTTTGGTCATTCAAATCTCATGCACGCAATTCATGTGCTTGTTGAACCTAATCTCTTAAAATTGAAGAGTAAACTTCAAATATGCAGTTGCTTATCCAAGCCAGGTCTTTTTGAGATTCATCCTCTGCAAGTTATAAATGCAGAGTGACAAACAAGGAGTTCAGTGATGGGGCTGAGCTAAAACTTGCCAAGTTGTGTATCCTTTATTCAAGTGAGGCTGAGCTAGCGTGGAAAACAGGAGATGGGCTGCTGATTTGTAGAGCTTCCTTTAATGTGTGCTCATGGGAAAGGAGAAAGAGACACCAAACAGTGACGGCAAACAGTATAAAACTGTTTGAACCATCTTTGAACCGAAAGACCTAAAGAGCTGCTAGAAAGATGTGCCCTCCAAATCACTTTCTTGCCTTTTCCTTTGATTCAACAGCTACATTTCTCACAGCTCATGTCTCAGAGCAGTGCCTAAGCAGATAATAACACTGGACACAAGGAATGTATGCGAAATGTTAATGTTTTTTTTTCCTATGTGTATAAGCATGTGATCACACAGCAGATAATATTCTCATTTTGAAAMGACAATCTTCTACTTCACAGTAAAGTAAATGTCAAACTTACTGTTGTCATGAGGCTGACCAGTGCACTGTCTAGCTTTAGTTTTCTCTCTATCACAGAAAAACACCCCAAAACAAAAATCTTAAGATAAACTCATGTTAATGAGTTTACAAGTGCTCAACTYGTAAATCAGCATGGCCCCAACTTCTCTGCAAATTGGGCTGCAGCTGAGCATGAAGGTTACCCAAGGATGGGTAAATCACCTTTTTCCTCACAGAACTTTCCTGTCACTGCATCAATAAGGTGGCTGCTGGTGAAGAGACAAGTCAATTTGGTCCTCGTTAGTGAGAGGAATAGAAGTATGTGAGGGAGAGGGATCAATAAGAGAATGGAAGATGTGTTGAGATGCTTTAACGAAGGGATGAAGGGAGAAGCTGATACTCTTTCAGATCRTTCCTAATAAACTCTGATGTACTTGGGATAACCGTGTCTCACATGAGCAGTGTTACCTACATTGAGTATACACACTCCCAGATAAAATGAGTGCAGAGAGGATTTCTCATGACAGTTGCGTAAGGGAGGCAGGTGCTTGTTTGATTTCAGAAACTTGGTAAAAGATTTTAAAATAACATCCATATTTAATGGATGTGCATCTGAGTACAGTGCCTGTACAGCCTCTAAGTGTGGAAGACACATCTTTTGTTATAGATGTATGTGTGCCTTTATGTTCTGTTGCATGTAGAGGTATACAAGCACACACAAATAGCATGTATATAAATTGCATGAAAGGATTATTTATATATACAAGTATATATACAAGTATACAAGTATTTATTTACCTTTAATCTCTGAGCTAGCATCTTTTCAAAGCCCGAATTACTTGTTRGGAGCAAAAAGTGGTATCTATAGGTGTAAATAAGGAAGAGGGAAATATTTCATTCTAGCCACAATGAAGTATGTTGTTGAAGTAGTCCTGGAAGAGCTGGTCTAGGCACCAGAAGCAGGACAGCTGTGCTGAGGAACCACTTTTCTTAGGCAAGTACATTCTATTTTTCAAATCACAAATATGGCATTGCTGCTTCTGGGATGTGGGCCAGCTCATTTAAAAGCAGTGCTCAAGAGATGGAGGCAAGGCAATTTGCCACAACACCTTTTCCATCTTAGTGCCTAGCTCATGGCTGCTAGCAGCTACAGATGGCCAACATTTGTGTCTTAAACATTTCTCTTGCAAAACATAGACTTTTATATAAAAGTATTTGCTGCTGCAAAATATTTCCCTTGAATTTTATTTTTCATTGTGCTTCAACTTTTAGAAAATGTTTTGAAATTTCAGATGTTTTCTTTTTTGTTTCCTTTCTTCTGTCTTACATTCTGCTTCTTAGTATAGTAGGAAGTATGCTCAGGTTGGAGGATTCTCAGGTTTTTCATTCTGTTTTGTACTTAATAATTATTTAGAGCTTCCCCTATGCAGATAGTAGACTGCATTCAGACTTTGACCAAGAGAGGCTTTTACCCTCCCAACACAGCTCACTGAAGTACACAGCAACAAACTGGACATGTTCAAGACAGCTTCTTTTCACTTACCTGTTATGCGAAGCTTGCAAAATCACAAAATGGAAATAAATATAACATGAACAAAAGCTAATTATTGCTTAAAATTTGGATGTAATTTTTTCCTATCATTCAGTGACAGATGGAAATGACTACAGGGCAAGATAATGAATTTTGCAAATACATTGGCAAAAGAATACAGTTTGTCCTAGTTTGAATTCTGTAAGACATAAATGACTAAATTGCAATGATTCTCTAAAAGGCTCCACTAATTCTCTTTGTGCCTTGGACATGCAAGTTGGGAGGAAGGTCTTGACAGGCTTGGCCTGAAAACCAGGGTTTCAGGTTCACAAGAAATATTGTCTTTTCACAGTTGGGTTGCACCCGGAGTCAGACTAAGATGAATAGCTTCCATGTTCCCTGTGAACGGGGAATTCTAAGAATATTTTATTATCAATATACCAGAACGTGTTGTTTCTAAAACAAAGTATGTTTCCTGGGAGCTCCAGATTCCCAGACCTGCTGCAGTCCTCAAGGAGTTGAAATGTAAATGTTTTGCTGTGAAGTGTATTTGAGGGGTACCAGTTTGGGGATTTTTTTTTTTTTTTTTTTTATCCATTTCCTTGCCAGGTTGAGTGATAACATAGAACATTCAAGATGATTAACTCATTCAGCAAAGTAAATCAGGAGTTTGCAGTTTAGTTTGATTTTATCAGAAAATGCTGGCTTACCTGTCCTGGAGAGTCTAGTCTTTGCTTCTTCCCGCTTAGAGAAGTGAAGAGATTTATTTTTAAAGAGAATATTAAGAGTTTTTGACTAACTACAAGACTTTCCTGGAAATCCCTTGTGCTCTTGCTTCTCAGGAGGTTTCACCATTACAAAGTGACACAAACTACTTGAGGCCCTGTAGAGAGACTGGGAGAAAAAAGATGTCTGCCATGAGCCCTTCCATAAAGTTAGTGATATTGGGTAAAGTCTTGGCATGGGAGAAAGTGCTTACTTCTGGTGTCATTTGTTCCAATTCAATTTCAGAAAAGTGCATTAGCTCTGAAGATCAGGAAAGATCTTTAGATCTTTCTAAAGACCCAGGTTTTCACATGGGTCTCATCACAGCCCTCACGGGTGAAGCTCTCTGAGTCCAGAGAACATCAAGGAAAGCTAGTCTTGCACCTCTTGGCATCCGAGTGGCAGCACTGTGCAAGGTACCCAACCTTTACCAGGATTTGGTGACTTGCAGCTCWTTGAAGCATCTGCTGCTTTCTCGGCCATGCACAAAAGGTGACTGGTCCCATTCCATGGTGAGAGCTGGGCTGGCGGAAACACAGAACAATTGGCAGGGAAACACAACCCAGAATAACACGCCAGCCTCTGCCAAGAAAGGTCACTGCTGGAAAGCCACAGAGGGGGAAAGCGAGTGGACAAGGGAGGTTCAATGTCTCTGTGGTCCCAAAGAATTCCTTTCTGTGAACAAAACAATGCAGGAGAACAATGCCAATCCTCAGACTGCTTTTGAGGCRGCATGTTTATTTTTTTTCTTTTTTTTCCTTATAGAAAGTAAAATTGGAACTGCTTCCATAAACAATAGGCATTGGCTGCAGAAGAAAGCGCGAGCTTTTGCAGAGACTTAAAAATAACCCAAAATAAGGAGCATATTGGCAAAAGGTTCTGTTTTTTCTTAGCACAGTTGAGAATGCAGTGTAGCCTCAACACTTGAGGGAGAAAGAGGCTAAGGAAGCAGATTGGGAGACATAATGTGGTAAACCTTGAATATGCCAGATTTTGTTGTAGAAGCCGGTGCTTGATGCTAGGTTACCTCATGGTGGGAAGAGTGGGATGGATCACAGGCTTTGCCAGCTCTTTCCCCAAACATTTTAAATCTTTCAAAATATTGTTCTCTAGCAGACCACTTTATTCCAACTCATTGTACTAATGTGTCTTGTGTCCCAGTTCCATTTGGTGCTCAAAGCTACCCATAAGTTCACAGATTTCAGGCAGAAATCCCTGTTTGTATAGCAAACGCACACAGCACTGACACAAACGATAAGAATAACTAATGCACCAACCCCAGCTGTTTTTACTTTAAGGCAGGTTTCATGTATTGCTAGGGAAGTTATGTTTGTGATGCTATGCAATATCTGATCTCTAACTGCACCAGTCCTAATGTTACTGGAGCTGCTTTAGGACTGGCAGAGCTTGCTTGATTTTTGTGTGTATGAGTGCAAATAAGCTGCCCCAGCATGTAGCGGTAGAGCTCTGGTTACAGCAGAAGAAGATGGRTATGTGCAGGTCTCTGCTGACCAAGACAGTGGTACCAGTCAGAATCAAGATGAATGTCTCTCTGCAGCTTTGATGGAGACTGGACCAGCTCYCAGACCGTGGAAACACCTTTTCCAGCTTCACAATGAGGTACCTGGCCAGAGGCTCATGGGCTCAGTGCAACTGAAAAGCTTTCAGTTTGGGAAAGCTTTGGGACAAACAATCTTGTGCCTCCATAGATACAATAGGACTCAACCTTTTTTTTTTCTTTCCTCCTAGTCATTACAGTAACTCAAATGGACAACAAGCTTTATAGGTGTCCCAGGCCTGCTACGCTGTGTGCACTAGAAGATCTTACCAGTAACCAGCATATGTGATGAAAGCTGCGAGTAAGTAGTTAYCAAGAGAGCATGAAGTTTTTTTCTGAAGCCTGAGGAATGGAAAGAGGTCCCTGCTTGGAGCTAAATGGGAGCAAGCAGTTAAAGAGGTCTTGCTGTTATGATTTGGGCACCTTTGGTGATTAACTGTAAGAACAGAGAACAGAATACTGTGTTATATGTTATATTTCATGATGGAGACTTTTGAGGAATAAGTTCTCTCTTCAGTGCATTTGAGTGACACCTGGCATTTTATATGCTGTTGTCATACTAACCCCTACTCCTTTCCMTACTATTTCTCTGCTTTCCTCTCTACTGTGCACATGATTCATTGAAACAGCAGTCTGTATGCACCAGGACTGTTGGACAGGGCCTCTCAAAAATATATGCTGTAAAGATTAAGACCCTAAGGACGCAGTGGTATCGGCCTTGAGAACAGCAGTGATTTTCAAGGATCTATTCTATTTGTGGTTTCAATGGGTAAGCAAGCTAATTACATTAAAAAAAAAAAAAAAGAAAAAAAAGAAAAAAAAAGTGGTGAAAACCTCAGGAGGAAGAAGGCCATCTATCTGGACAAGTTCTTACCAGGAATGGTATAAGTAATCCTTGTTTGCTAAAACTTTCAAGTCTGTAGCCAGGTCAAAGAGACCACGCAGTCCTCATTAGGAGAGCAAGAGAACTCCTGAAAAAATGAGGATTTTAGCTAATTAAAAGCAATACTTTCATGTGCTGTGATGTGGCAGGCATCAGTATGTTTCAACCTTTTTTTGTCTCTACTGATGATAGGAGAGTTAAGGCAGTTCTTGCATTTAGCTGACAGCGTAATACCTACAGCCTCTGTTGCTGTATCAACCTTTCTTGAGAACCAGATCTGAGAACTGCTGAGGATGGAGTTAAGATGGGAGACTATGGACTGCCAGCTGTCAAGCATGGGGTTGATGGTTCCTACTGCTGTGTCTTCCCCTCAGGTGATGTGCTGCCTGCTTGGCGATGGCTCTCTGATCRTTGATTTTGATGAAAACTGAATTATGTGCAGCCGTATTGCAGAATTGCCACTTACATCCCACTGAAGCATGGCTTTTGCCAAGAAAACATGGTCGATACTCAGAGCATGGAAAGGCTCTGAGGCCTTTCTTTCCCCCTTTCCCACCCGCCACTCTCCTTGTAAAATCTCTGCAGGAGATTCCTTACAAATTAATTCTTTCCACATTTTTTATTCTCAAAGAATATCAATTGACATGCACAGCCATTTACAGGCTCTCCTGTGCTCTAAAAGCTTCATATTACTCCCAAATGGTCATTTTCGCCTGAGTATGGCCTGTGCTTCAGCCTAAGGAAACACCTACAGCTGGAGCCTTCAGCTGTCAATTTTCCTGGTGTTGTATCTGGTCAAGATCTGTTCATGTCCCACCTTGCCAGCACAGAGAATGGCACTGTTCTTTATTAAAAGCAATGCTATTCTCATAGTTTTTATGACAAAACTATTATTTTATCCACACCAAAAAAATGGTGTGGATGATTCCTAAATACAACTCCCATGTGCTTCTAAGGGCCTGGGCAGAGCAAGATGGAGTTGGCAGCGACGTGTGTCATCCATCCATGGACATTGGCAGCCCCTGTGAGCCATGACAACGCTTTCCTCCGGAGGCCAAGAGCTGAGTTTACAGTTTCAAGGCAAGTAATTACCTTTCGGAGGCAATAACCAGCACTTCCGAAGAGCAGCTGCTTCAGGTGGCTCAGGAGCAATGCAAAGTACGTGGATAGAGCCTGGCACACATGTCTGGGCTCTGCTCATTTCCAGGAAGAGCTGTGTTTTGACATAAGGCTGGCCATTTGCCCCATATTTAGGGGGAAATCTATATTTATTGTGTTCCAAACTTGATTACTTTTTGCACTACTTTTATTTTTTTTCTTGAAGCAAGCACTGCAGTTAAGCTGTGTTCGTTTTTGAATGTGCCTTGTAAAATGYAGAGAGCAAGTTTCAGTGTCTGCAAACCCAAGCGGATCAGAACCTGGGAACTCCAGGATTTGCACTGCAGCTCTCTGCAGCGATGGATACGTGGAGGTCCAACGTGGCCAGGGCTTCCCTGCAAACACTGCCTGGTCTGCTGTTGCCATCTGCTGGATAAATCCTCATGATGTGAAGTCTGATGAAAAAGGAGGGGTCTGGTTTCATTCTTGTCCCTAGAACTTATTTTTGCATCATAAATATAAATCTATATAAGTACCCTGCATATATTTATATTTAATATATGTAATATTATAGATATGCTATGTATACTTTATACCCATATATTATAAATATATTACATATATTTTAATATATATTACATATATTTATTTCTAAATTATCATGCCTGGCAAAGTATGTCTGCAGTACTCTTGGCCAGCATTTTCTGAGGTATTGGATGTAATTTTCCTCTTGGGTATATTTTACACACTGTAAGAGTCTTTTCAAGAGTCATTCCTTTTCTTAAAGACTCTAGTCATTTTGCAAAAGGTGAAAGTGTGCAATATTGTGGGACATGTTAAGTCTTTTGTTTGCAACACTGAAAGCTCTAAGAGAGATAGGTTGCCACTTGCCCCTGGCATTTTTAGCACCATGTCATCAGGCCCCAATCTAATCTACAAGATGTAATCACCATGGTGTTAAATCCTTGCTGGTAGCCCATCACCTCCGGCTTGTAGGCTTGTTAACGTGAACCTGAGCTGGCGGTGGCAGGAAGGTTTTAGCAAATGCCTCTGTTGTTGATGGGGCTTTAAAATCTTGTCCTTGTCCTCAAAGTCAACGGGGTGTGAATCCACCCACCCCACAGCTGAGAATAACAAGACCTGCTCGCTCTTCAAGCTCTACTTTTACTATATATAAATGCTCTTGCAATGTGCCTTTGGGTTTCAGATCAAGAGACACTTGCATTTGGACCTTTGATGGAGGTGATGTGGCCTCTCCTGGGTGTCACTGCTGCAGAGGTGCTACTTTTCTGGTCCCCAGCTCTGCACACTGCAGGAGCAGTCCATCCTTTGCTCTGCATGGACAGGCCAGRTGAAGGAGGTATGAAGTCCAAGTTTGGTATCCCAGGCTCAAGCMAGTTCTTGACTCTGTTCACTGGCCTCTTGCTGGTTCAGCATGGGGCAGAAGGAGCTCCTAGCTCCTTCTCCTCTCTGGCTGTTAATTAATCACCTTCTATTAACCCACATGCTCTGCTTTGCTGCAGAGCTAAGTGTCTTTAATTACACTGATCCACTGTTTTCAAATGAGTGCAGACCCCAAACAGCTGCTGTGGCTCATAATACTTTTTGTGTGATGTTGCAGAGGCTCAGCAACCTTTCTGTGTCTTGCCCTCCTGATCTGTTCCCTTCTTCACTTCTGCTGCTCCTTTTCCTATAGATATCTAACACTGCATCAATACTTGCTTTGATCCTTCCACAAAAGCTGATGCATGGGTTCTTGCTGCTCGATTCAAAAGAACCTCCTGTAACCAGCTTTTACCTTCTGTGCAAGGACTATTTTAATCAATTACCCAGTCAAGGAGCTCTTGAACTGCATCTTCAGGGCATATGTGTTTCTCCTCAGATGCTCATCCTGATGTAGCTAAGATGCGTAGGGGACTCCTTGAAGTACCAGCCTGTCTGTTGCTTTCCTGCTCCTACTTCTTGCTGGGATAGCGTTATATTTAAATGGGTTTTGACAGGCTTTCAAACACCAGCTCCCCAAGCAGGTCCTTTTCTCCTGGTTAAAGGTTAAAGAAGGCTTTCAACAGTACTCCCAGCACAAGTTACTTAGAAGTGTAAGTGGAAAGTGGCCTGCCAGCTTYGGTGAGTGGGAAGTCTCTCTGGAGTTCACTCTTCGATCTTGGTGCTGCTGTGCTTGCTAAATATGAATAGGCTGTCTGAAAAATGTGCTTAAAGCTAATTGAGTGCCAGCTTTGATACATTAAAATGACACTGCAATGATGTTGGGGGTACAAAGCTACTGGAGCAAATTAATGTTGGACAGACTTTGGGTGGACTAGTTCTTTCCCAAGCACTATTGTCTATGCTGATTTATCCACCAAGGTTTTTGTCCTATAGATAAACCTGACCTTGTATTTTGATTCCTTTGCAGCAAGTCTGACTCTTCTTGTGCGTAAGTAACAGTAGTAAATCCATAGGTGAGGATTTAGGTGTGAAATCGAATRCTTTTCCATATCTAAAATTTAGCTGTTTCATCAAGCAGGCAGTTGAGAGAGACTGTGGAGCTAAATAAAACATCATATSAGAGTTGTTCAGTGGGTCTACACTTTAAGCATCTTCTCATTGCTTGGTATCCTTCCATCCTGCTTGTAATGGCTCTGCCTGTCTGCAGTTGACTGCAGGTCAGCTACCACTGACTAGTTTTGTATTTCTTTAGATGATTTCTGAAGAGATACAATCTTTGTACCTTTGATTCTCTACAAAAGATGCACATTATCTAAAAGATGAGTATTCTAAAGGAAAATGATTCTAGTTTTCTTTCCCCACATGTCCCCCCACAGCTCTTCAAACAAAATCCTGCTTGCCAGCCTGGCAGTGCTGCCCAGCTAAATGAAGAAGCTGCAGAACCTGCGTTTATTGGGGTTCTCATTTCCTTAATACTACTGCACTAGAAATCTTTGTGGTTGAAGTGTGCAGACTTAAAACAACTTGGCAATGGGTCAGTAAACTGTTGTAAGACTGTGTTTCCTTCTGGGATTTGGTCCAAAACCCCCTGACCACATGAAAATGCCATGGCATGTCCAAGAGGACCCTGATTCATATGTGATAAGCAGTATCCAGCTAAAGAAAATGTCTTATGCTTTTATTCCTTATCTCTTTTAGAAATATTTAAATATTTTATTTTATATTTTGTTACTGAATTTCTATATTTAAACGCTTTATCTGGAATCTCAGTTTGGARTATCACTTTCAGGGTCCAATTTTCCTTGTCTCCAATACTACACTCAGAATCTGGGGCTCTTATTATGTATCTGAACACAGATCAGATAGGGARTCTGCATTATGCTATATAAATATAATTTTCCATGGAATCTACTCCACTGAAAAGTGCAGGGACAAGTCAACTTTTTATTTTACTCTTTGTCTTTCCTTAGTCTCTGATGTATAGGACATTCAGCAATGCCTGCCAGTTACTTTCATCCTGTTCTGTTTAAGCTTTTGACTGGTATGTTGTAAGATTTGGACAACTTATCTGTTGTTCTCTATGATGTTTTTTAAGGTTATTACATGATGTGGCAGTTACGTTGGTGACATCTTAAGGCATGTCCTCCATTTGTGTCTCATTATCTTGCCATTCTCACTGCCTGAGGTTGGCCCATCCTAGTTGGATCTCTGATGCAGAGGAGCCRAATTGCCAGCTCACATGTAGGCTGGCACTCGCTTTGCAGTAACTTTTTCTATCCATTTGCTGGTGTAGGTTTCCATGTCTCTGCTGAATAGAGTAGCATGGCTCTGTTATTGGCAAATTCTTTCATCAGTGAAAAAAACCCACTCTGAAAGGTACTTGAAATCACTTTTTGGTTTTGTTGTTTGATATTCATCACTTCATCATCTTCATTGTCCCTCCAGGTGCTCCCATCTCCCCAGGGCTGACAGCATGCAGGGCAGGAGGACCCTCTCCATCCACGGGCAGATGGCTCCGCACAAGCTTTTGTGGGAACACTGGGAAAGTCAAGGAACCGCAGCTCCGTGGGAGGCGCAGGATGAGCAGCACGGTGCTGGTTCATTGCCACGTCCTCTATGTGCTGGGCAGATGGAGGAGTCAAAATAACAGGTCTCCCTATCTGAGGCTTTAAAAATAAGACTCTCTTTTT